GAGTCGAGCCCGCTGTCGCTCAGGAAGGCACAGAGGCCACCGCCGCGGATCCGAAACCTGGAAGGACAGATGAGACAACCCACCTCAGGTGGGGACAGCAGGAAAAAAGGAGGAAAATCACACGTTGGCTCTTCCCCCTCCCCTCCTTCGGTTCTCAGGTGTCCTTGTGGGCGTCAATACGCCAATATCGATGCAGGGTTATTTCTATTTTGGCAGCAGTCTGGCTTGGCTGTAAGAAAACTGAAGCTTTGCCAGGAAAAAATATTTAAAAATTTTTAAAAAACCACAATCTAACAAACAGCATTTTCCCCACCGAACGCACCGCTTCCACCTCTCAAGTCAAAGGGAGAAACTAAGACTGGCTCTGGATTCAACGTTGCCTTTCCCAAATGTCATTGCCAAATGCCAGAAGAAATGCACATTTCAGGGCTGAGGAAACGCCAAACCAGCAACGCAATGATGAAAAATACGGACTCACAGGTGAGATAAACGCGAGTGGTTCACCCATTTCCATGGCTGCTCCTCATCTTCCCGTGAAAGGCCGATCCAATGCTCCGAGATCCCTTTATATCTCATCATGAAGCTCTGAAAGAGAGGAGAGAAGGCGGCTCTATGGCAGGTCACGGGGCTTTGGGACATCTCCCGCAGGTCACCATCTGCAGAAACCTCCTTCCAACCAATAATCTACATTTTACCAGCCGCTCGTGCTCCTTTGGTGCCTGAACCTTTCAATCTGCTACCAAAGAGTGTAACCTTTAAGGCAGAGCTTCATTATTGTGTAGAAATGGGGCTTTTTTTTGCCATAGTTCTTGCATCAGCTGGCTTTGTTGAGAAATTTGGAGACCCATGATGACCTACCCTCAAGAAAACCATTTTCCCCATCTCCTCACCCCAGATCTCCAAGGAAGATCTTGGAAGAACAGTCAAAGAAACCAAAATAAGTGGCAAATAAGTTGGTGGCTTCTTTTTCCCCCCCCCAAGCTAAGCATGTCCTCATGTCTACTTACCAAGTCCTCCACGCTGTCGAGCATAGCCAAGGAAGCACCAAGTGCCGAGCAGTTGTCCTGGCTGGATGTCCAGTTCCCCTCAGCCTCCGCAAAATGGTAGCATTTTCCTCTGTACCCAATCCAGTCGAACGGACACCGAAAACAGGGTTGGGGTCGAGGTTGAAAAGCCTGCACTGTCATCGAAAGAGCAACAGCATTAAGGAGCAGCACCTTCCCCTTGACTCTCTGGGGTGGGGATGGTCATCTTCCACCCCATGGCTTCCAACACATCTGCCTCAATGGTAGGAGGAAAGAAAAAGACACCAAGAGAAGTCTTGGGTGGATTGGAGGGAGAAAACAAGCTCAAATCGTGGCCCAGCTTGTGGTGTTGGACGAGAAATGTGGTTGCTGTACCTTCAAAGAAGAAAAGAGGGTGGTGGCCTTCAAAGATGCAAGTTTAATAGGATTTCCAGAATAGCCCTGTCCCTAAATGCGCCCTTCGGTATTGCTATCTGTCATTAAGGCAAAAGCAGCGATGGGCAAAGGACAGAAAAAGAAAGTTCTCATGTTCCTGCAGACTTCTTGGCTTGGTGGGACTCATGCCAACATCTCTTGCTGCTTGGACAATCAGTAGAGAAATGGCCCCTTCGTCTGTGAAAAAAAAAACCACTTTGGGAAAGCTCAGATGACTGTACCCATGAAATGGCTCTTTGTGTTGTTTTTTTTTAAGGGTTTCTAGATGCTATCAGCTCCCACACAGAGCAAATGGGTTTGGTCTTTTGTAGAAAGGCTTCTCTGCTCATTGGAATGTCCCTCTCCTGAAGAGGACAGCATCTTGGGTTGGTCTGCGTCTTCCCTGGGAGCGTGGAGGTGGATCTGGCACACGTGCAACAACCCCAAGTATCTCAGAGACATTCCCCACGGGATGAAAACCTGGATACTCACCTGCAAAAGTGATGGCCGTGACGAGCAGAGCTATGAACAGCACTGCCATGGTCACCTTACAGGCGACACGCACCTCCGGCTTCATCTCAAGGCTGTAACCTGCAGGAGAAGAGACCTTCAATGCCTTTACAGGGGGTACCAAGGGGAGCAACACGCCCCAGGTCCAGGCTGTTGGCCCAAAAGATGGTTTTTTCCTCCTTTTTCTTGAGGATGAAGTGGATTTTTAACGCAATCTCCCCATATTGGGCCGTCGTGGAGCTCCTCATCTGAGCACTTGGGTGATGCTCATCAAAGGCATCTTTGGGAAGAGCCTTCCTACAGGACAGGCATCGTTTGATGCCCAAATGACGAGAGGTCGGTCTCGTCCCCTTGCCAGGTGGACTTGCTGTCATTTTGGGTGAGAAACATCAAAAATTCATCTCCACATGGAATAAAATTATATTTTTTTTTGCTTTTGGGAACTATTCCTCAGCAGGGGGACCTTGTCTCCTCCCGAATTCCAGCTGCAAACTCCTGCTCTGAAATGCACCATAATTAAAATTATGGTTTAATTTCTGTGTTCTACTTTGTTATTAAATCTCAGTGCACTTCTTTCTCCACCTAAACTGAGGTACTTTGGGTGTTGCAAATGATCTGGGTCGTGGTCCCTCCATCTCTGGGTCTTGTGATCCAGAACATGCTCTTTCCCCTTCCATGAGCAAAGAAAATTCTGTTTCCTAAGGGTTTTACCTAAAAAAAAAATCTCAGCATTTTCACCCTGTGGGACTTCCCCCATTTTTCTTTTTAGCTTCCCCCTCTTTGTCCTCATCTATCACATGAACCAAAAACCATGGGGCAAACCTTCTTTTCCCCTCTTCCTCCTCCTCATGCAAAAATAATGTTAGAGACTAAGTCAGAAACCAAATACGTCAAATAATTTTTAAAAAGAGAAATTAAAAAAATCAACAAATAAAAAAAAAATCAAAAATCCTCAAAAATCTCAGTCCCTGGCTGGGTAGAGATGATGGAAAAGACCCAAAAGTCCCTTTTAGACTCTATTGAGCACCAAGAGGATGATGAAGATGGGAGGAACAGTCAGGAGAAGTAAAATAGGGAATTGTCGAAGGGAAGGCAGAGATTAATAAATATTTTGTGGTTGTGTCGAAACTGGATGTAAACCCCAGAATTATTTTTCAGGGTCTTTTAACACTTTGACTATTATAAAATTTCTTTGTTCTCATTCAGAATCAAGTAAGAATTTTGAATCTTTGGGGGGAAAACAAAACAAAAAAGACCCAAAACAGTGACTCAGGCACCTCAGGGAGGATTAATCATATATGAGAATGACCCAAAGTGCCTGAAATGAAAAACAGAACAAAAAAGACCCAAAACAGTGACTCAGGCGCCTCAGGGAGGATTAATCTTATATGAGAATGACCCAAAGTGCCTGAAATGAGACTGTTTACAGAAAAAAATTCCATCTGCTGATTGACAAAAATTTTCCTCTAAGTACTAGAAAAAGGTGTTTGTTTTTTTTTTTCCCTTACACCCCCCCCACCCCGCTTTACCTCAGCTGTTTTTTGTTCTCAAATTATAGACGTATTTAAAAAAAAAAAAAAGGAAAAAAACCCCCAGCAAATATTCAGTTCATTGCTCTACAGTTACCTGCTCGCTTTCTCCTTTCCACACCCAAAAATCCGGAATAATCCCTCGTTTCCTTCATTTTTGGGGTTCCACCGCCTCACCTGCCAAGCAAAGTTTCACCTGTCACAGGTGTCATGAAGGCTGTCGGTCCTCAGCCTCCCCATCGGATTTTTCAGATCTGGTTCGTCAGCAGGATACACCCGAGCGTGGGCAGAGGCGGGAACTCGCTGCAGATAAACGGCGTTTCTACCCTGATAATGTTAATTTTGCACCACAGGGTCTGTAAAACCTCCAGCTACCGGTTAGAAATATCAAGAATGATGTCGGGGAAAGAAAGGAAATGTCATAAATTCCAGGGATGAGTATTTTGGTGTAAAATTAGGTAAAATTAGCCACATGCAAAAGTAGATGGGGGGTTGTTTCTTTTTTTTCTTTTAAACCCAAACCACGTTGTTTATTTTAAGAGGAGCTGTGGGTTTTAAGACGATATTGGTTTTCTCCCCTCAATTAAAGTTTTCTCCTCACAATTAACATTTTCTCCCCTAATTAAAGTTTTCTCCACACAATTAAACATTTCTCCCCCCAATTAAAGTTTTCTCCTCCCAATTAATTTTTTCTCACCTCAGTTGAAGTTTTCTCCCCGCAATTAAAGTTTTGTCCCCACAATTAAAAATTTCTCCCACAATTAAAATTTACTCCCACAGTTAATTTTTTTCCCCCCAAATTAAAATTTAAGTCCAACTCTCCCCGCCCCCAGCTCCTCCCAAACCCCCTTTACCTGGATCCGGAGGAAGAAGCAGGACGCCGAGGCGCGACCCCTCTCCTGCTAAGAGAAATGTGAAACAGAACATATTAAAAAAAAAGAAATTTTTTTT